ACCCACAGCGCCCCTAGAGGACAGAGTGGAACTGCACCACAGGGTCTCCAAGGCTGTCAGTCTTCACAGAAGCAAAGCCCAGACCACAACCACTGCCGTGGAGTCCATTCTGACCCACAGCGCCCCTAGAGGACAGAGTGAACTGCCCCACGGGGAGGCTGTCAGTCTTCACAGAAGCAGAACCCAAACCACACCCGCTGCCGTGGAGTCCATTCCGACCCACAGCGCCCCTAGAGGACAGAGTGGAATTGTCCCACAGGGTCTCCAAGGCTGTCAGTCTTCACAGAAGCAAAGCCCAGACCACACCCACTGCCCTGGAGTCCATTTCGACCCACAGCGCCCCAAGAGGACAGAGTGGAACTGCCCACAGGGTTAGTGGAGGGTCAGCAAAAAAGGAGAAGACCCTGAAGGAGATGGATTGATGCAGTGGCTGCAACAATGGGCTCAGGTACAGCAAGGACAGTGAGGCTGGTGCTGGAGCAGGTAGTGTTTTGTACTGTTGTACATGGGGTCGCTCTAAGTCCGAGCTGACGTGACGACACCTGATGGTAATCTTTATGGAAGCGGACTGTCTCATCCTTCTCCAGCCAAATGGCTGGTGGGTTCAAACCACTGACTTCTTGGTTAGCAGACGAATGCTTCAACCACTGAGCCACCAAGAGCCCCTCGACCTGCCACAGCTCCTGTGAAAGTGGGCCCCTCCTCTCTCTGACTGCACTGAAGCACACGGTAGAGGCAGGGGTGTGGTCTGGACGGTAATTAAACCTGCAGGAGGACACGCAGGGTAAAGGGGAGGCTGGTGTTGAAGATCAGAAGGGGTGTGGTGGGCAGAGTCCGCTGCCAACGCTCTGGGGCTATCTCCTCAGGAAGGCCACCTCCAGGACAATGCTGTTTGGAGTTTTCCCCAGAAAAGCCTAGAACTCAGGTGACAGCACTTCAGGACGACCGCGTGGTAGAGACGTGCGTTCTCAGGAGGCGTAAATGTGAAATAGGGGGGTGATACACATCGCAGGGCTGTGTAAGGACGTGATGATCTGACAGCAGGGCATGAACTCAGCCTGCATTGTAAGAAGTGAGCGTTCCCACGGTGTCGAGGAAAGTCAGGGATGGTGGGCTCGCCGAGGTCTGTCAGCATAGAGCTTCATGAAGTCCATGAGGCATCTGTATGGGACAGACTGAATGCCCGAGACACAGGGGACTGAGGGGACAGCATCCGATACAGGGCACTGTGCCCGAGACACAGGGGACCGAGGGGACGACATACAGTATGGGGGCACGTGCCTGAGACGGGGGAGACCCCGAGGGGACGACATACAGTATGGGGGCACGTGCCTGAGACGGGGGGGACCCCAAGGGGACAACATACAGTATGGGGGCACGTGCCTGAGACGGGGGGACCCCGAGGGGTCGACATACAGTATGGGGGCACTGTGCCCGAGACGGGGGGGACCGAGGGGACAGCGTCCAATAGAAGGCACTGTGCCGGAGACACGGGGGCCTACAGGGACCTAAGGGGCACTACATACAAAACCACACGTGGCTCCTAATCTTGAACAGTAACAAACCTATCGCTGAACAACAAAGGGGAGAAACAAAGCAAACCAGGGGGAGCAGGAACAGCTCCGTTACTGTAAGGGGTCCATGCTGGGGCCTCCTGACTCCTCCCCCTTCTGGGGAGTCTGCAGCCCACAGCAACACGTGTCATACACGGTGCCCATTAGCTCCCGTCGTGCCAAATAACGCCGTGGTGATGTCAAGCGTGCAGCCCCCGTTATTTTCCTAAGCACCCCATGTCAATTTTCCTCGTGCACATGTTACTGACTTCAATGTCTATGACATGGAAACGTCACCTGAGGTTGGTATCACCCCTTTAAATCAACAGGAACAACGTACAGCTTCAACTGTTGACTTTCTGACAACTGGCTGAGGACCAAGCCCAATCCAGGACTTCTGACCACGGCTTCTACCCTTACTGTACAGTTAGCAGCAAGCAGCAAAAGTAACGCCTCACACTATTTTTACCCATGTACGCAAATTAAAGAAAAGGAACCCAGTTTACTGGAGTGGACATGGGGGGAGGGTGAACGCGGCTGAAGCGGCCCTCTGGGAGCAACAGGTGGCAGACTGGGTGCGTCGTCTGTGAGAATCACAGCAGCCCCACACAGTCACCTCTGCTCTCCTCGCAATGCCTCTTCCACGCACAGACAGAGCTAAGAAAGGTTTCCATCAGCGGGGCCGTCTGCTGCTGCGACGGGCTGCAGAAAGCCAAGCACGCCCAGTCTCTGAAGTGTCACGTCGCACCTCATGGCTGCCGTGGCTCCTTCAGAAGACACAGCCCACCGGTCGTCACTTTCCACAGAGAGCCGTCTGCATTTAAATTAAACAGTCAAGTCCTCATCACGCTGGCCTCATTCCAAGGACTCAAAGGACACGGGGGCTGGCAGCGCCATCTGACAGCACAGAGAGGACGCATGCGCCACTGCAGAAGCCCCCTGGAACAGTGCTGCTCAGACTTACTCAGCGGCGGGACAGGCACCTTCTCCCCTTAATAGCCACCACTATTTGAACCTGCAGAACCCAGCTGAAGTCATGCACTACAGGGAGAACTGAACAAACAGGACCCCCTGTGAAAGAGCGTTTCTGAGTGACGGCACGCACCGAGCCGGGCCCAGGCGTGGACTCACCTTTGGGGTGTTTTCCTACAGGCCTCTTGGGGAGCGACTCCTCAGTGGAATGTGCTGATGGGTGCAGTACATTTTCCAAACTATTGCTGACACTCTTGGCAGGGGTCTCGGGCCGTGGAGTCATCTGAGGGGACAGAAACACATTTCCCCCCAGTCAGGTAACAGGGAGCAGCTCCCACTGCTATCTCAAACCTATCTGTAGCCACCGACTTGCCAACTCTTCCTACAAACTTGGGTTACTTGTTTAACAATAACTACTTCCTGAGATACAACGTTCACCGGCCTATGACCCCCACTGGGCTTTACCAACAGCCCAGATAAAGGCACACAAGGACACCTCCTCTGTGGCCCGTATCAGTGGAACATTCGGCTGGACAGAGACCATATTAGCTAGGCTGGTGGGAATTACACTCCCAGGGGTGAGGCAAAACCTCATTTCTGGACTGCTTCTAGTCACATGGTTTCCTGTAAAACCAATCGCACAGCAGCATTAAGTCCATCCGTCTGGAAATCTCACACAAATCACAAACCACTGAAGATAAGGACAAAGAACACAGTGCAGCAAGCATTTGGGGTGCAGTTTGGAAAGCGTATTCTAAAATTACAATTCCGTGTTTAGGAACGCATCACATGAAAAGTACTTGCACACGAAGGGGAAGGCCCTATGATCAAGGCAGAGAGAAAAAAGGACTCACATGAGGCAAGGGCCTGTGTGAGTGGCCCCTACAGCCAGGTCTGTCACCTGGAAACCAAGGCCCCTGACACACTGGAAGGCGGCAGGCCCACAGACAAGCTAGAGAACAGCCACTTGTGGACACGACACACACAACAAGAGCTGGGACAGTGCCCCACATGCAGTCAGTTTAAAAACCTGTCAGAGCTATTAGGCATAATTCAAAATGCACAAACAGCAGAAGAGAA